AGTAATCACATTTAGAACATTTAACACTGAACCTTTACTGGTTGCATAAGGTACCGTCCAGTTGTACCAATAATGCCCTTTGTAACAACTTCTCTTGATACAGGATGACAGACTGCATTTAGTTGTTGTGACTGCTTAGTCTCCTTTTCTTCGACACGGTTCTTCAACCTTTCTTCGGCATTCATCCTATTGATATTTTTGAAGAGTATGGGCCAGATATTTTAATAGAATGACCCTCCATCTGGGTTTGTCTCAGGCTGCCTCACGATTAGATCTAGTGGTGTATTTTTTGGCAGAGATATTACCCAGTGGTGTACTGGAACCAGCTGGTACCAGTGGTGAGAGCCAATTCTCACATCACATCCCAGCAACGTGTTCTGTGAGGTCATATTGGTAGTTTGAAATCAGCTATGGTGGGAGTATTTGCACCATGGATATCAACAGATGCTACAAATGAGGGATCACCCCCCCTCCTCCAAGTTCTGGTTGAGAAACATATACATTTACCAACACAGCCATGTATATAAGTGAAGTTGTGTCCTTCTCAATAAATACTATCAGGAGGCACACGATGCCAGTCTGTCCAGTTATTGGTGATATCTGATCACTTGATTAAGACTGTATCCGTCTGGAGCACCTGGGTGGGGCAGTTGGTTGAGTAACCGGCTCTTGGTTTTGGCTCAGGTCATGATCTCAGGGTCGTGGGATTGAGCCCTGCACTGGGCTCGGCACAGAGTCTGCTTGGGTTTCATTCTCCCTCTGCCCCTCTCCCCTGCACATGGGCTCTCTCTTTCTCTCTCTTTCTAAAATAAATAACTCTTAAAAAAAAAAAAAAGATTGTACTGTCAGATTTCTCCATTGAAAAGCTAGCATTTTCCCCCTTATCATTAAATTTCCCCATAGAGAGATACTTTGTGATTATATAAATATCCCGTCCTGTTTCTCACCAAACTTTTATGCAATAGTTTTTATTTATTGAAAACTATTGCCTGGATAATTAGTACTATGATGACTGTAAATGATAATTTTGTTTTCCTCTCATTTCTTATACATTTATTTGGGTTTTTTTTTTTTTTTAGATTTTATTTATTTATTTGTGAGAGAGAGAATGAGAGAGAACATGAGAGGGAGGAGGGTGAGAGGGAGAAGCAGACTCCCTGCTGAGCAGGGAGCTCGATGCGGGACTCGATCCAGGGACTCCAGGATCATGACCTGAGCCGAAGGCAGTCGCTTAACCAACTGAGCCACCCAGGCGCCCTATACATTTATTTGTTGGTGTTCTACAAGCTACCTCTTTTAATAGACTTAACCCTAGAACAGCTAGATAATTAGTGATACACTTGGAAACAAACTGACTTCCCCCAGCAGTTTGTCAAGTAGTTCCAAATCTTAAGTATTTGTGAGCAAGTGATTCATGTCCATGGTTGTGCAGAATAAGTTTCCATGAAGTACTACATCAATACAGAAAAAGCAGATGGGTCTTCAGAAATAATTTTCCCATTCTAAGTTTTTATATTTGATGATAACTTACCATCCCATCAACAGGAAAGGGAGCATTTGGAATCATTTTTCAGTCTTCTCTGATTCCAGTTTTTATCAAAAACATGCCTTTGAGGGGTGCCTGGGTGGCTCAGTTGGTTAAGCGACTGCCTTCGGCTCAGGTCATGATCCTGGAGTCCCGGGATCGAGTCCCACATCGGGCTCCCTGCTCCGCAGGGAGTCTGCTTCTTCCTCTGACCCTCCCCCCTCTCATGTACTCGCTCTCTCTCATTCTCTCTCTCTCAAATAAATAAAATCTTTAAAAAAAAAAAACATGCCTTTGGAAGATTCCTGGTGACAGATTGACACCGGAGTCAGAAAATTAACTAGTGCATGGCAGAATGGAAAGAGCACTAGACAAGAAGCCCAGAGTCACGGTCGGCTGTGGGGTTGGGTAGTACACGTCATGTCCCCAATGCTCAGTGCCATCATCTCTAAAATAATATGAGTAATTTTTTCACTAAATTCCCTTTCAGATTCTAAAACTTTCTTTTATTCCCTTCTACTTGTGAATCAAAACCTAGAGTTTACCTCATTAGCAAGATGTTTTGGTCAACTGAGCTAACAAGCCAAGGACAAAAATACGACGTCCGATGCGGAGACTGAACCTAGTGACCTAGGGACTGAATCTGTAAAGCAGCTAAATTAGCCATGAGGGTAGAGCACCAAGACTTGATACTGTTTCATATTACCCTTGTGTATTCAGCCACATCATCTGACTCACTTCTCTGCTCCTCTTTGTTTATCCCTGACAGTCATGGAAACCTACGAAGGATCCCATTACCTCTCTCTGAGGAGATCCCTCTCTCAAGTGTTAGCTTGCCCAGTCCCTATAAGGTTACCTGCGTTGCCATGGTTATAAGTAAAAGAAATCTTCTATCCTAGGACAGACATCAATTTCTAAAGAACTTTTGTACTTCAGGCATGAAATTCCGGAATTCCGTATATGTCTTAATTGAATTTCACCATGCGAAATGGCTGAGAACGAGGCAAATAGTATTATTTTTGCTTGATCCAGTTTTGTGAGCTCCCTGCACAAGTCAGGTAACCTTGGCAATCAGTATTAGAATTCAAAATACGTTGCCTTGGATTTCCAAAACAGTGGATAGGAGGAAGGTGAGGTAGGGGCTGAGGTATATAAAAGAATGTAAGGCTTGGCCAAAACATGGCTTCTCCTGTCTCCCTGGAACCAGAGTTCGGTAGGCCCCACCCCTCCAGCCCACCATCACCCTCCTCCACCAGAATTGTGTTGTGGCAACTTGCATAGGTGGAAAAAAAAAAAAAACCCACAGGTGAGTTGCATATTTGCCTCCCCACTCTTCTGGAGCTGTCTGAGCCTGGTACTTTTCATGCTTCAGCTCTCATTTCGGCATTTTTAATATTTAATGACCCTTCTAAGGTAGAGAATTATTTGGCAGCATCCTTAAGGGTTTCTGTCTGAGGCCTTTTTATCTGCTGAACTTCCATTTACTAAATTGAAAAGTTGGTGTCTCAAATATTGTTTGGATGGCTCACCTAAGGTTCTGCTGAGGCAAAGAGGGTCATGGGGGGTCAGAAGAGTTGGCAGTCATTTTCAATATATTTTATTTAGCTTTTGTTCTGCTAATATCCGAAACAACCCATTTTTTTTCTCTTTTGTAAGATTTTAAGACAAACTGGACTTTAAGTTTGGGTGCAATTTCAAACTCAAAGATGTTTTTGAGTGTTCCTCCCCCTGTGACCCCCTCCCTCTGCCTGAGTTGTTGTTGTTGTTGTTTTCCTTTGAGCATAAGGAATATAACCGTGTAAAACTTTGTCTTGATCAACACCCATCTCACCTGTTGGATTAAATGTTTCATCATCTTTCACCAGATTAGAAAACCACTGTCTCTTGCCTGAAAGACAGAGGGCAATCAACCTGGCTTCTCTTTGATTTTATAATCTGTTTCTAGAGATTAGAAGCAAGCTTTGAATTCCAAGGCTCTGGGCCTCTCAGCTTTTAGAGCAAAAAAGTTTGGAGCAGATCCGTTGCCTCAGGTTTCGGAAGGGAAACTTAGATGTCGCAGGATGAAATTCGTTTGTTTTCATTTTGTGACATAAGGGAAACATAATTATCACAGCTGGCGTTGTAACGCCCTGGGTTTTTGGTTTATTTTATTTTTGTGGCTTTTAGAAGAATTATTGTTATTAGTTTGTTTTATTTTTGAGAACCCCAAATCCAAATCACTTGGAAATGTGAGAGAAAAGCATAATCCTTTCAGAAATCTTCAGCGAGCTCACTGCTTCTGTGAACCTACCTAGTTCGCCTTTACTTTAAAACTACTTAATTACTCACCATTGATGTCCTGGTACAACTAGAAAAGCTCTTCAGCCCAAATTCAACAGGTAAAAGGGAGAAATAAAGAATTCAGGGCAATTTCTAGGCTCATGAGTTCGATAGTCTCAAAGACTCTGCACTTTCAAGTACTAATTATACAACACGTAAGCAAGGTTATATGGAATTTTTAGTGTGCGTTAATGCTTACAAGGTAGCGTATCACCCAACAAATTTTTTTTGCAAATTTTTTTAAAATGAAGATCCCGCTATACCATTCATTGTGGTACTACATTATATGATGCAGTAATGGTATTAACGTATATGATCATATTTAACAAAATAAATGAAGGCATATGTGAATACCTTTGCTAGAGGCAATATTCCCTCCACACACACTTACGCATCCCTACCAGGGCACTGAAAAAGCATTCCTGTTTTCCAAGGCCCAGAATTCTTATTTTTGGGGGTGGGGGGAGATCTTAAAGGATGAAAAAAATAAAATAATGGGTAAAATGATAAATTAGAGTTCATCAGATTTCAGTAAAATGGAACAGAATTTTGGTCTTCTCTAAGTATTTGCTGTAACTGATTCTTAAGGCTTTACATTTTGTCTCTAACTGTATAAATATTAATTCAACAATGTGTCACTGATGTCGAAGTGAATTTACATTTTTAATAACAGTTGCATTGTGTGTATACAAAAAAAAAACCAAAAAACCATGTGGTGACCCAGTAAAAAAAAAAACCAAAAACTCAGGAAAACACAGAACGAACAAATCTAAGAAAATCTTCAGAGCTTAAAAATGAACCTGTAGGGGTAAAAATTATTCATTGGGAAGTTCTCTGAATTTTCAGCCACCAGAGTCATTTGTGTTTCTTCCAGAATACTGCTCTCTAAACAAAATTCCCCACAGCTAATTAAAGTGTGCGCGCACACGCGCGCGCGCGCGCGTGCACACACACACACACACACACACATTGTAGCTTCCCCTGAACCCTGGATGCGCCCCTCCACGCCCCCCTCCCTTTCCCCTGTAATGGTATGATCTGCGTTTGATTGTAAACTGGAGGTGCCAAGCCGTGACAGCTTCCCCGACTCCACAGCCATTTGCTACAACCTAAGGCAGCCTGTGTCCAGTGACGCTTTGCTTTTCCCCCCCGACAGGGGCAAATCGAAGCGGACAGCGAAACCATCTTCAAGTTAGCAGCGCTTGTGTTACAGGTAAGAATCGACCAACTGCCTCTTGCCTGCGCCTTTTTGTTTGTTGGTTTTTGTGAACTGCCTGCAACTCTGAAACTTTCTCGCGTGGGCCGGTGGCTGATAGATTTTTTAAGCCAGCTGGTTGTTCGCCAGTGAAAAACGTGAGCGAGCCACCGTTTTCTGTTTTAGCGTAATTTGCATGAGCTATAGGGTGGTATTGTATGTCGCAAAGGAAAATGAAATTTAGACTGCTCTGGGGGAAGAGAATTTAGACCGTACTTCTGGAAAGGAGTTCTGGAACAGTTGAATTTGGGAAGCAGCAACTGTTACAAGAGCTGTAATTTTCATTTAAATTAAGTAACTTTTGTATACCTTTTTCTTGAGGTCGAGGGCAAGAGCCCCTTAATGCTTAAAGACGCTAGTAGCTGAAAAACCAAGCGTGTTCTGTGCTGGTTTAAAAAGAGAAAACAAGTAGCACGCGTTGATTTACCTATGTCCGGCTTAAAAGGTCTGTGTCCAGACTAGAAAGTGCTGCTCGAATAGACAAGCATTTATCACATGATCTTAGAGACCTAAAAGAAGACATAATCATCTGTGCTTTTTCAGTTATATTTGTCTCTTCTGTTAAGAATAATAAAAAAAAAAAAAAGAATACGAAGTATTTCATGGATACTAATGTGTTCTCACCAATGCCACATTCTTCTCCGTGGCTCTAGAGAAAGTGTTCCTCGTGGACACTCTTCAAAACAAAACTCAGGCACTTTAAGAGGGAAACGTGACCAAGAGTGAAATTCATTTGCTTAGTTAACATAAATACATATTGATCATCTATCTTTGTTTTTTATTTCAGGAAGCCAAAGGGGATTATACCAGGTAATGGTTCCTTTTCTGATATTACTATGCAAAATAACCCTAGCTGAACCCTAGCTGAATGCCGTTACTTTGAATAACAATGGATGCAAACTCAAAAGAAAGTAGATCTCAAGGCGGGAGACTGAGATCTCTTCCCTCTTCAAATAGGGACCCATTCTTTTTGTGAATGAATCCAGCAAGGAAGCTTTCTTAGAATTTTTCAAGCCAGAGTGACAGTGAATTGTAAACAGAAGCCCTCCAGAGTTCTATTTTCTGTTATCTGCTAGCAAGATGAAGAAATCCCTAAAAAGCTTTGGTAGCCGTGCTGACTTTTTTAAAATTTATAAATAATCCTGTGTTGGAGGAGTTATAACATATGCACAAAAAGATAAACTCCATCAGCTGCTTAGTTAAGGGATTAATGGGGGCTTGCTTTTTGCAGCTGCCCTGCAGGGGCCTCCCCCTTCAGACACTTGACCTATCAGTGGTATTGTTGCCCCTGGGACACTTACTTGTTCTAACTGCCTAACTGGCCACCTCATCAGAGTGTTTATGTTCATGCTCTACCTGCTCCTTTCTGCCCCTTTTAATGCAGTAGTTGGAGTCGGAGAAATCGAAATGGTTAAAGGTGGAGGCAAGGCCTCCAATTAGAAGCAGCCCACAGGCCAGTGACCCATCGAAAGCCTCACCTCTACCATGTTAATGTTCCACTCCTAGTAAACTTTATCCGTAGATTATTTACAGATGACCTAGTACTCATTCCCAGCCAAGGTTTTGAATAGTATGCCCCTTAACAGACTGATAACCGAATAATGCCTTCCATGCCTGAAGACGTCCAGTCAGGGCATACTGCTTCACCTCAGAAACTCCAGATCCTCTCACCTGCCCATCCAGTTTGGTAAAATGACTGAGGAGTCCACGTAACACACCACGATCCGCTCACCACATTCATTAGCTTTGTTTTGTGCTGTGTTACTTTTTAAAAATTTGTGTTTAAGTTAGGAAATAGGCTTTGAGGGAAAGGAAAAGTATATTTAAAAATATATTTTCCTGATATATGTAAATATATCAGGAAAATCTATAAACACCATTATTTTTTAATTAAAAGAAAATGTGGGGATAAGAGGAGGGTAAATGAGTTTCTAGATCCTGGACATCATGCTGCTGTGTTCTCTGCTCTTGGATTTCTTAAAGGAGCCATATTTCCTAGGAAGATCAGATATGCGAGGAATGTCATCATGTGGGGGGGTGAGTCTGAAGTTGATTTATAAATGAGGGCTTTAGGGCCGAAAGCGCACCCTCTGCAGTCTGTGAACTGCTAACCCTTCCTTCCCCATTTCCTCTCCACCAGCCATGTAATGGACACTCTCTAAGCCTCATATCCTCATCAGGAAAATGGCACCTACCCCCTAGATTAATGGGTGTAGAGTGGGAGATCAAATGTTGTAAACATTGCCCAGGGCAGTTTCTGGCACATGGCAAGCTCTCTGAACACTTTGACTATTATTATCAATTATTCTAGTATCATTATTGCCCTCCTCATTATCATCATCCTGCCCTGTCTCTTGGTAACCTCTGAAGAGACCACTGGGACTAAGGTGGGTCTGAAGAAGGTGAATAGTGTATTAAGGGGAAGAACAGAAGAGAAAGGTTGATACCACAAACCTTCCTTGGGGAAGATCTCTTGCCTATGACTGAAGGCTCGGAAGAGATAGCCCTCAGGTAGTCCAGAGGTTGTCTAAGACTTCAAGGTTGTTGAGTTAGTCTGGCCAAGCCCAAACCAATCCTCTTCTTTAACTTTGCCTTGTGCCTGGTGGTTTCCTGAGTGATTACTAGGCTGATTAGATGGAGGACACTGTTTTGAAATTGTCTAAACCTCACTGAGTTGTAGAAGGAACATGAGCCTGGGCGTCAAGAAACTAGCAAGGTGACCCTAAGTGAGCCGTTTGTCCCTTCTGGGCCTCAGCTTGCTCATCTGTAAATTGGGATTCATGAAAATCGTGACTTGGCAGGGTGGTTTTAAGGAGATGAATGACGTGGAACGACTTTGTAAGTTATCAGTTGTTTTGCCAGCAAGCATTAGTTTTCACTGATGCGGGTGAAGGAAAGAATAAGGAACTGTGAACTCTTGTCATTGGGTTTATAATGAGGCAGAATTTTGATTCCTTGCTACCACCCACCCCCTCCCTGTGATGTGATCGCTTCCTCCTGTGAATGGGGAAAATATATTTTCCCCCCAAAATTTGTTACAAAACTAGTTTAAGAAAAATAAGATACCATGAGGCAATGTGTATAATGGTTAGAGCAAAGACACGAGAACCAGACAGCCTTGCTCAGATCCCAGGTCTGCTACTTATTACCTGTATAATCTTGAGCAGGTTATTTAAACTGTCCAAGCCCTCAACTTCCTCATCTGTAGAATGGAACTTATCTTAATGGTATACACCCCATAGCATTGCTATGAGCATTAAATGAATTAATATTTGCAAAGCACGTAGAACAGTTCCTACAGTCTCCACTTTCTTATTTCATCATATTAATGGAATGACTTACCACCTCCCTGTTGTTTCAAATATGAATTGTTTCCCATTTTTTGCTGATATATAAATGATGCCGTGATGAACATCATGGTGTATTTGGGATTGTGGTAATCTGTGATTGTTTTCTTATGTGATGTTTCTCAGGTGGAAACAAGCAGAGGGAAGTTCCTTAAAGAGGCAAAATACAAAGTCCTGAAATGGAGTTTACACATTCTTGATACCACTACGTTAAAATTATACAAAGTTCATAGCTTTATCCAATAACACCCACAGAATGCCTAAAATGTGTCAGCCCCAGTTGAGGTACTGAGGATGCCGAGAACCATAGGCTAGGGCATCTCCTTCCTGGGAACTTGGTTTTCTATCAAGAATTACCTCAGTGGCCATTCTGAATCCCAATCTTCTGTTGACTTACAGGCCGGTGGCTGCAGCTGTTGGCTTTTAGAACTTCACTGAGTTGACTCACTGAGGTTTAAGCCTCAAAAAATGTCCCCGAATACTTTCCAAGACCAGGGCAATGTGGCTTTCTCAGTTAAAACAATGATTAACACCTACTTCTTAAGGCTGCTCTGGTCCACCCACTCCTTATGAATATCTCCCTCTTTCTCAAATGTAGCATTTCCAAAGCTGAACCCAGCAGCACCCCAGCCCCCAGAGCAACTCCTCTTCCCGGACTCCCCTTGTATGACATCAGCTTTTCCTCTTGAATTACCTCGGAGGATTTCCCTTTCACCCTCCCACCCATCTCCTCCATCTGTCTAGTCAGCTCTCTTCTTCATCAGAAGGCTTGCTTTCTCAGCCCTCATTCCCCTCCACACAACCCGAACACGGCGCTGTGTGTGTATAGTTTGTGTGAGTGCTTTTGACGACGTTATTTTCAAAGTCCATGCGTGATTTCATTCAATCCCCACCACAAATGTTATCACTGCTGTTGAACAAATTAACAGATGGAAAATCAGGCCCAGGGAAACAATGTCACATAGCCAGTGAGCTTCCAGATCTTTTCTGGTGCCATCCCTCACAGCCACCTGCACAGAACCGCAGTTATCTTCCCGAGACATAAATGTGATTGGTGTTCACTACCAAGAATCTCTTTACGGTTTCTCATTGCACAAACGCCTACCCTGCACACCCTCATCTGGCATCAAGGCTCTACTTAATCTGTTTTATGTACTTTAATTTCCCATACTCCACTGTTTATACTCTTTAATATCTGTTCGTGCCTCTCTTCTCGGTTCTCCAGGTACTCTGTAGTATTTTCCCTTCATGGCTGTGCTCAAACTCTTCTTCCTGGAATGCCTTGAAAAACAGCAATCCTCCCCCTTCTTACTTAGCTTCCTGCCATGTTTCCTTAAGAGTATTTTAAGTGAACATTATCATAACCAGTAGGAAACCTTGCTCTCGGGAAGTTAATTAAAATAGTAGAGTGGGGACTTTCATTCTCTTTAAATAGTTGACAGTCTGAATTTCCAAGTCAGCCTTTAAGCTGCAAAGATAACAAGCTGCTTGGGTTACACAACGCAGACAACGCAGAGAATTCCTGAAAGCTGACACGGGCGAGGAGGGAAGGCTTTATCACTGAGCTAGCCGCAAATGAGTTTGTAAAAGCAGGACTGGGTTGGTTTTTGTTTTGTTTTGTTTTGTTTTTCTTTTTCATTTCTCTTAAGATCCTGAAAGGTGGAAGTTACCGAATAATCATGTGATTAGGGCACTTCTGCTTATATGAAAAAGGGAGTGACGACAATTTACAATTAAGTGCTGGGTCAGAATGAGCGTATATTGTCCCCCAGCTTCAAATGGGAAGGTATAATTCACAACTTACAGCTGTGCTACAAAATGCAGCTATTTCCCACGGGAAAGGACCTGGTGTGGCTGCCCTAAGTGTAGTTAATGGGGGGCAGGGGGGAGCAAAGACTTTAAAGAACTTTCCCGCCTCGTTCCTACCTCTCTAGAGCATTTAAACCTCTAAAATGTCCTTCCATTTCCAGAGCCTGTAAAAATCAGTTACAGTAATAAAAATAGCAGCTCCCATGAGCTTGGTGCTATGCGGGGTCCTTACATCAATGGGGAGGCAGTAGTGAAGATAGGAGCTCTAGAATTTAACTGCTTGGGTTCAAATCCAGGCTCAGATGCTTGCTCTATAACTGGCTAACTAACCTCTCTGGAACCCAGTTTCTGGGTCTCAGTAAATAATGCAGGGCATTGTTATTGTTCCTAAAATGCATCACCTTCGCATCAACCCTGTGATGATAGGCACTGTTAGTATCCCCATTTTACAGATAGGGAAACTGAGTTGTGGGGTGAGCAAGTGGCATTCTGTCTAAGTCACATAGCTAGAGAGTGGCAGAATTAGGACTCCAAGCCTCATGCTCTTTACCGCTGTGAGGAGTCTCCTGATCCCTATTCCAACACAAACGGTAAGAATCATTACCTTCCTTGCTAGCAGAATAAAGAAGACTGACTGGACAGAAGTTGAACCTT